AGTATAACGTCAAAACTGACTGGAGCCGCATGGATACTGAGCTATTTTGTAGACATTTTGCCGGTCTCAAGATGCCAGCTTGTGCAGTTTGTGCTTCAACATCTCATTCCTCGGACTATTGTCCCACTATGCCAGAGTCCACACCTGGGACTTTCCGCGAACCACAGACCAGGTTGGACAGATCTGGTAAGGACAAACTTGGTCGCCCTATTGTTTACCTGGGAAAGTCTCAGGTTTGCAATAACTTTAACGTAGGTACATGTGGTTATAGTGCCTGCAGGTTGTTACATGTGTGTTCACATTGTTTTAGGGCACACGCTAAGTCTATGTGTCCCAATAAAAGTCACACTAAACCATACTTGACATCCGTAAAAATTGGTTCTTTGGCACACGCATTAGCCTCTCATCCATCCAAACACCTAGGGGACTTTTTGATAGATGGTTTCACGGAGGGATTCCATACAGGGTTGGTTCATACCCCCGCTGGCATTTACGAATGCAACAATTTACAGTCAGCATTTGCAAACGTGGAAATGATCGATGCTCTATTACATAAAGAATTAGAGGATGGGTTTTTATTGGGACCTTTTCACGAGTCCCCATTTTCCAGTTGGCAAACCAACCCCATAGGATTAGTCACCGGGAAATCCTCAGGGAAACACAGACTTATTTTAGACCTATCAGCACCTCACTCCTTGGCCATACCAAGCCTTAATTCCCTAATTCCATCCGAGGAATTTTCACTCCAGTACGGCACTATAGGCAACGCTATACACACCATCATCACAGCTGGCGTAGGTGCTTGGCTCAGTAAAACTGACATCGTCAATGCGTTCAAGTTACTACCCCTTCGCCCATCACTATGGCATCTGCATGGTTTAAAATGGAAAGGTGTCTATTATTTTTTCACAAGACTCACGTTTGGGTCAAAAAGCAGCCCAAAAATATTTGACATCTTTTCCGAAACCTTATGTTGGCTGCTGTTAAACAATTGCAGATGTCAGGCCATTATACATTATCTGGATGACTTTCTGTTCGTGGAGGATAATTCCTCTTCCCCCAGTGATCTGACAAAGGCCATATCATTTTTTCATTTTTGGGGGTGCCAGTGTCCCCCAAGAAAACAGAAGGCCCTGACACATTAGTAAATTTCCTAGGTATCCTACTCGATTCAGTAAACATGGAAGCGAGCTTACCTCCAGGAAAAATTTACAGCATACTACAATCCATTAACAAATTTGTGGTCAATAGGACATGCAATAGGAAGGAATTGCAATCTTTGTTGGGATCGTTGAATTTTGCTATACGAATCATCCCGCAAGGCAGGGCCTTTATCTCTAGACTCCTTTGCCTCCTCCCTCTCATACCAAATGACATTACTTGTATCAGCTTGGAGGCGCAGGCTACAGCTGATTTGCTAATGTGGCACAAATTCCTGTTGCAATGGAATGGCAGAAGTAAGTTCTTGCCTCCATTGTCTGTCCACTCTCCGGTCATTTGGACAGATGCGGCAGCATCAACGAGTTTTTCGGCCATATTTGGAAACGAGTGGCTTTGGGATGCTTGGCCAGAGGAGGTCCAACACATTGAAGGTTTCTCACGCACCTTATTTAAGATATACCCCATTTTGGCGGCAGCGGCAGTGTGGGGTCAGTCTTGGGCAGGTAGCTCGGTACGCTGTTTTTCTGACAACCTAGCTACCTGCGACATCATAAACAAAGGCCGATCGGAGTCTCTTACGATCATGAGAGTCATGAGAAGACTGACCTGGCTGGCATCCTGCAATCACTTTTATTTGGTGTGTTCTCATGTACCAGGGGTCTTTAATACTGCAGCTGACAAATTGTCTTGCTTCGAATTCCAGGCATTCAAAGAGACGTTAGCCACGGCCTCCCCCACAGCCACTGCAGCACCATGTTTTCAGGAGCTAGTGATGGACTGAAAGAACTGGCAAAGCATGGGCTCGCCTTGGCTAGTCTAGCCCTGTCCGACAATACTAAACGGTCTTACGATAGGGCCTTCAAACTATACAAGAGGTTTATGATAGAACACAACTTGGTGCGGTTTTTTGCCATTTCCACACTGGTAACTTTTGTTTCATTTTGTCATCTTAAACTCAAACTGTCACACACAACCATCAAATTATATCTAACCAGCATACACTATACAAACATGGTAATCAAAACAGCCATCTACTTGGCATATTATGGTTTTCGTAGACCTGGCGAGTTTACCATACACGGACATAAATACGCACAAAACTGCCTCAAATGGTCCCATCTCACCAAACTACATGATCACTATATCTTGTCACTACCAGTTACGAAAACAAGCCAGCTGGGCAAGATGGTACCAGTCACATATTATCCTACTGCAAACAGATGGTGCCCGGTGAAAGTATTGGATACATACCTCCACTCATTACCACCGCAGTCTGACATCCCGCTGCTAGTCTTACACAAAGAGGTCTTAACAACAGCCAAATTCATGCAATACATTCGCATGTTACTGACCAGACTAGGTCTGAACGCTGGCAACTTTTCTGGGGTTTTTCCGAAAATAGCGCGCCCATTCCAAGCCTCCAAATGGAGAAGCCACGAGCGAAGTTCGTCTTTTGCTTCTTCGTCTAGCGTTACCATATCCCTGTATGATGTACCGCCTCTGAGCCCGATAATGGAGTGGGCTTGGGAATATGGCCTGGATGAAAGCCGCCAGGAGTCCGATGACTAGTGCCAGGTGTTTGAGAGAGAATTGGGGAACGGACAATGTACGTTTGATTTCTTTTTTTGATGTTCAGTAATTTTGGCTTTGGGAGGTGTAAAGTCTGTGAAGTGGAATCGATCACCAGTCCTAGGAATTCAATGTTCCGAGCCGGCGTCAGGATAGATTTTTCCCAGTTTATCAGGAAACCTAAGTTTTGCAACAGCGTCAGAGTCCATGCGAGATGTGTGTGGAGAAGGCCGGTGGACTGGTCTAGCAGGAGGATATCATCCAGGTAGATGATAAGACGCACTCCTCGACTCCGAAGTAAGGTAATCACAGGTTTCATAACCTTTGTGAAACACCATGGGGCTGATGACAATCCGAATGGGAGGCATATGCACCTCCATTTCTTTCCTTCCCATGTGAATGGGAGAAAATCTTGGCATCTGTCTGATATGGGTACCATGAAGTATGCATCCTGTAAGTCTAGCTTGACCATCCAATCTTTGGGTTGTAGAAGGTCGTGCAGGCAATGTATGCCTTCCATTTTGAAGAGGTGATAGGCCACGTAGGCGTTCAACTGTTTCAAATTTATGACTGGCCTCATTCCTCCTCCTTTCTTGGGTACCATGAAGAGGTTGCTGATGTACCCCGGAGTATTGAACAGGATCTCTGTGATGGCTTGTTTGCGCATCAGATCATGAATTTCCTTGGATACAAGGATAGCATCTTGTTGGGAAAAAAACAATCTCTCTGGGTAGAGAGAGTTGAAGTGGGTGTGATACGAAATCTATGCAGTACCCTGTTACAGCCTGCAGAACCCAAGCATCAGATGTCAGATGCGACCACACATGGGAAAAATGTCTGAGTCTGCCCCCCCACACCCTGAAGGGAAGAAGGGGAATAGTAGACACTTACCATAAGGTCGTCTTCCAGAAGGAGCTCCTCGGATGCCCCTAGCGACCCAGGGTCTGCCCCTTTGGGGGAAGAAAGCTGGTGTGGCCCTCTGCTCTTGGAGTCCAGCTCTTCTGGTATAGGAACCGCGGTTCTGTCTGCATGAACCTCTCTAAATACGGCCGGACAGACGGCTCCTACCTCTTCCGGCCCCTGCAAAAACCTTTTGGTGGAATATCTTGCGCTTGTTATTCTGCGCCTTATCTAGGGCCGTAAAGGTATGTACAAAAGACCATAGTTCCTTTACAAAGGAATCACCAAATAAAAGCCCTTTAGCCTGGGAACCCAGCTCATTAATTGCTAGATTAACTAGCTCAGGCTCGATTTTGAGCAGGATAGCTTTGCGGCGTTCTGTAGCCAAAGCCGAATTTACATTTCCTACTAGGCAAATGATCCTTTGGATCCATTCGCAGATGACATCCCTGTCTAAGTCCCGGTCATCTTCGACCGCCTCAAATATTTTAGGCGGGGCCCAATATGTCCAAAGCCTTGTCTTGGCAATTAGTCAGGGCAAAGTCAAGACAAGTCATCTGTTTAGTTTGGAAAAACGGTGCCTGAGAGGGGATATGAAAACTTTATACTAATATATTCGGGGTCAGTACAAACCTTTATCTGGAAATTTATTCATAAACAGGGCTATACATAGGACACGAGGTCACAAATTTAGGCTGGAAGAAAGGAGATTTCATCTAAGGCAATGAAAAGGTTTTTACAGTTAGAACAATAAGGATATGGAATTCTCTGCCTGAAGAGGTGGTTTTGTCAGAGTCCATACAGATGTTTAAACTGAAATTGGATAAATACTTACAAAAACATAACATACAGGGATATAATTTCTAATTAGTGGGGTAATAGCTGCTTGATCCAAGGAGACATCTGACTGCTATTTTGGGGTCAAGAAGGAATTTTTTCCTAGTTTGTGGCAAAATTGGAAGCGCTTCAGACCAGGTTTTTTGCCTTCTTTTGGATCAACAGCAACAACATTTGTGAGGAAGGCTGAACTTGATGGACGCAAGTCTTTTTTCAGCTATGTAACTATGTAACTATGTAAGCCCTTTCCTCGGTTTCCACCCGGTTTTCCCAAGGAATTGGGCAATTTTGGGGTCCACAATGGGCGTTTTACACGCATCATCTGGGACCGTGGGACGGGGGCATTCTGCCCTCAACTTATTTCTGATAGCCCGGTCTGGGGGCTTACGTACTCTGGAGGTGATGTATTTCGCCACATCTTCTGAGGGACACCATTCCGCTGAACACGGATGTCTGAGTTCCTCAGGGTAGAATAGAGGTACCCCCTTAGTATCTAATATCCTGGAGTCGTCACCAGACCCCGACAGACTTACCTGGGCCCCTGAAAACGTCACGGGGAAGGTGCTGAAGGAGGAGGTAGAATCCTCGCCCAATGCATCGTCGGAGTCTGATTCGGACTGGCCCTCTAAGTCGTCCTTATCGGACACATTAATTTCCTCCTCAATGTCGCTAAGTTCTGACTCAAATCTAGTTGGGCTCTCGCCCTCTTCCATAGTCTAGCTGATTTTTCACGGCTAGTGGCTCTTTTACGTGGTGGTGGTTGCGCGCCATCTGAGACAAATGTTAGGCTCAAAGCAATTTTGGGGGAATGTTTGGTCTTAGCTGTAGCTTTGCGACCTTGGGGGACCTCTGGTACATTAGATGCAGTTGACGTGTCAGTCTGCTGCGCAGATTGGTGGACCTGCAGGATGGTCTGTGTAATACTGTGTGACAGAGACGTCGACACAGCGCCCATAGCGGAAGCCATAGCCTGGGAAATGGCTTGAGAAACAGAGGTGTCGAATAGCACCTGTATGTCCACAGTAGCGGATAAATCATGGCACATAGTCCCTTCTCCCGGGTTACAATGGGAAATCTGAGGGGTCACTTGTGACACAAAAGCCACAGTTTGATCCTTGTCAGACTGCATTATTAGTGTGGACTATAGTAACCTGCAATATAATATAATATAGGATACTTAGCGATAGGGATTATTAACCCAGAATAGGGAAAAAATATCCTGCAAAGGAAACAAATAACTTACAAAAGCACAGAGAGAGATAGAAAGCCGTCCGTTTGCCAAAACACTAAATCTAACAAGGGGAAACAGGAAGGGGCAGGCTTATAGGAGAAAACCGTGCAAAATTCTGTCGAATGACAAAATTCCGCAAACAGCCCGTTCTTATGAAGAGCAATATAAATATTGGTAAAACTCCCGAACGGTAAAATGCACGAACAGTATAGAGACGAACTGTATGAATTAATGCACAGTTCACCTAAAAATCATACGAACAGAAAAAATCACGAAAATAAACTGGTGAATAAAGGAAACTGCTGAACGGCATATTAGACAAATTAGACGTCAGTTAAAAAGGTGCGACAGTGCCGCGAGACAAGTGTAAGTAAAATTAGAGGGATAAATATAATGGATTCCCCTCCCGGTGTCCCCTAAAGAGATATAGGGAACTGAGGGGGAGCCCAATCAAGCAAAAAACAGAAATAAAAGGCACAACAATTTAATGAACATAATCAGAATAATTTTGTAGTAAAATAATAATTGTAAATTAAAAAGAGCAGTAATACTAGCAAATAATACTAAACTTAGTACTAATAATACTAGTAATATTAGTAATAACTGTATTAATATTAGCAATAATAACAATAATAATTATAGTAATAATAATCCCACAGTTAAGAACTATGGGATCAGTGTACTTAACTGAGGGAGCAACAAAAAAAGAGTAAATTGTCATAAGAACACTGCCTACTATGCTGGAGAGTGGAACCTGATTGGCTGATTGGTTGCCAGGGAAGATATATGTTAAGAACTGTTCCTGTGTTCATATTATTGTTAAAGTTTTTTCTTTGCTGCTGAGGGAAATAAAGAAAGAGTGCAGCATAATAGGAGCCTCTGTGTCTTAATAAAATCTGAGGGACCTGCCCGACAACCCAGGCAGAAAGTCCAGAGAATTTGGCTCGCAAGCCCTATATTTAACCCTGTAACTTTCCAGGACTCCATAAAACCTGTACATGGGGTGTACTGTTATACTCAGGAGACTTCGCTGAACACAAATATTAGAGTTTAAAAACACTAAAGTATATCACAACGATGATATCATCAGTAAAAATGTAGATGTTTGCATTTTTCACACACAAACTGTACTTTTACTGATACGTTTTACTATTTTGAAACACAAATATTTGCGTTCAGCAAAGTCTCCCAAGTATAACAATACCCCCCCATGTACAGGTTTTATGGTGTTTTCAAAAGTTACTGAGTCATATATAAGGCTTGTATTTCCTTTATTTCACATTAAAATTTGCCAGATTGGTTACGTTGCCTTTGAGACCGTATGGTAGCCCAGGAATGAGAATTACCCCCATGATGGTATACCAATTGCAAAAAAAGACAACCCAAGGTATTGCAAATGGGGTATGTCCAGTCTTTTTTAGTAGCCACTTAGTCACAAACACTGGCCAAAATTAGTGTTCAATTTAGTTTTTTGCATTTTTCACACACAACAAATATGAACAAAATGTGACATAAAAGCCCTGTTTCTCCTGGACAAAATGATATATAATAAGTGTGGGTGCACATAATATGAAAGAGGTGAAGGTTCAAGGTTCAAGGTTTTGTTTACGTTTTGTTTTGATCACATCTTGTACAACTGCCTCGGTCCTTAACCCCTTAACCGTCATCGGCATTTTCCCATTGCCGACCGCTGACGGTCCTGAACCGTCCTAACGGTCCTAGTTACTTACCTGATCGCCGTCGTTACCCCGGCGGCGATCAGCGTTGCTCCCGATGTGGGGAGACTGCCTGCAGCCCAGACAGTCTCCCCACACTGGATTAGGACCCCTGTGGCCATGTGATCACTCAACACAGCGATCACATGGTCACAATAGGTGTCCATGTGTCTGCCTGTAAAATCAGTAAAAAAAATAAAGTTAGTGTTAATAAAAAATAACAAAAATTATATATGTGTATATAAATATGATATATAGACATATATTATATATAAATAATATATGTCTATATATCATATATATAATGTCATACTAAGTGTATTTTTATAATAATATGTACTTATATTAATATAAAAATACACTTATAATTAAATAACACACGTATATATATAATATATATAATAACTATATATATTGCATATATATATATTAATATAAAATATAAATAATAAGTAATTTAAATTAAATTAAATTTTTTTTAAATAATAAAAATTGAAAAAAATTGTATATCTATATGAAATTTTATTCTAACTGTATTTTAAAATTAATATATATATATTTATATCAAAATACACTTAGAATGAATTTGTATTATGGGACAATGGGAGGGGGGAACACTATGGGATCAGAACACTAATGGACAAGGGGAGGAGGGGTTAAAGAACACTATGGGACAGGGAGGAGGGGTTAACAATCACTATAGGACAGGGGAGGAGGGGTTAACAATCACTATGGGACAGGGGAGGAGGGGTTAACAATCACTATGGGACAGGGGAGGAAGGGTTAACAATCACTATGGGACAGGGGAGGAAGGGTTAACAATCACTATGGGACATGGGAGGAGGGGTTAACAATCACTATGGGACAGGGGAGGAAGGGTTAACAATCACTATGGGACAGGGGAGGAAGGGTTAACAATCACTATGGGACAGGGGAGGAGGGGTTAACAATCACTATGGGACAGGGGAGGAGGGGTTAACAATCACTATGGGACAGGGGAGGAAGGGTTAACAATCACTATGGGACAGGGGAGGAGGGGTTAACAATCACTATGGGACAGGGGAGGAGGGGTTAACAGATCATTATGGGACAGGGGAGAAAAAAAAATATTCTGAACAAATTGTCCCATAGTAAGAAACACTATGGAACAGTTTGTTCAGAATATTTTTTTTTCTGGGTTTCCTCCTCTAAAAACTATGTGCGTCTTATGGTGAGGTGCGTCTTATGGAGCGAAAAATACGGTATATAAATATACACGTAGACTTCAAATATATAAATATGCATATATATTTAAATTGTACGTGCGTATTTATGTAATATTTTTACATAATTAAGTAATTTTATTGATTGCAATTTGAGGGACCTGCCTGCCAACCAAGGCCGAAAGTCCAGAGAATTTAATTTGCTAGCACTGTATTTTACCCTGTAACGTTCTACGACACCCTAAAACCTGTATATTGGGGGTACTGTTTTACTCGAGAGACTTCGCTGAACTCAAATATTAGTGATTCAAAACAGTAAAACATATCACAGCGATGATATTGTCAGTGAAAGTGACTTTTTTGCATTTTTCACACACAAACAGCACTTTTACTGATGATATAATTGTTGTGATACGTTTTCCTGTTTTTAAACACTAATATTTGTGTTCAGCGATGTCTCCCGAGTAAAACAGTACCCCCCATGTACAGGTTTTATAGCATTTTCTAAAGTTACAGGGTCAAATATATGGGTCAAATATTTTTACATTGAAAATGGCCAGGTTGGTTACGTTGCCTTTGAGAGTGTATGGTAGCCCAGGAATGAGAATTACCCCCATGATGGCAAACCATTTGCAAAAGAAGATAACCCAAGGTATTGCAAATGGGGTATGTCCAGTCTTTTTTAGTAACTACTTAGTCACAAACACTGGCCAAAAATTAGCGTTCAATTTAAAAAATTTTTACTTTTTTCACACACAAACAAATAAGAATGCTTACTTTGGCCAGTGTTTTCGACTAAGTGGCTACTAAAAAAGACTGGACATACCCCATATTGAATACCCTGGGTTGTCTACTTTAAAAAAAATATGTACATGTGGGGTGTTATTCAGAGATTTATGACAGATAATAGTGTTACAATGTCACTATTGATAAATTTAAAAAATTTATGTTTTGAAACCGCAATATTCTACTTGTACCTATAGCCCTATAACATGCAAAAAAAAAGCAAAAAAGCATGTAAACACTGGGTATTTTTAAACTCAGGACAAAATTTTGAATCTATTTAGCAGTTTTTTTCATTCGCTTTTGTAGATGAGTAAAAGATTTTTTCAAGTAAAAGTCAAAAAACTGGTATTTTTTTCAATTTTTCATTATTTTTTTATTTTTTTAAATTAAAATACATGAGATTATATAAATAATGGTATGTAAAGAAAGCCCCTTTTGTCCTGAAAAAAACAATATATAATTTGTGTGGGAACAGTAAACGAGAGAGCGGAAAATTACAGCTAAACACAAACACCACAAAAGTGTAAAAATATGCCTGGTCGCAAATGTACAACATCGCAAAAACAGTCCAGTCCTTAAGGGGTTAAGAGGTTACTAAATAGAGGGATTTTATATGCAAAGATCTACTCTATGTGTTCCCTTTTTATTTATTTTCATATGTGGTGCTATTATTTGGAAGCCTAAGAAGAGTGAAAATATCTATAGATTTTGACTAATTCCCTCGAACATAGCTTTGCGGTATTCTATTAGTGAGTAAGCTAATCTATGTGTGGGAAAGT